GTACGGCCCACCCGCTCCTCAACTCTCACAGGCCTCCCAGACTGCCCCGCGCGGCCGGCGATACCATTGTCAGCCCTTCCTAAAGGGGGGGAGCGCGCGCGGGGGGGGCTTGTTTAGCACTCTCTCACACACAAACAAACACACACACACACCCCTCCCTCGGCGCCTCACCTGTGGCCGCTACCGGCGTCTCCTCAGGCTGAGGCCCACCATCCTCACCCTCCTCCTCCTCCTCCTCCTCAGCAGCAGCGCGGCGGCAGGCCCGACGGCGCCCGCGCTCCCGGAAACCCCGCCCCCACCGGGCCCACGCATGCAGGAAGGGCGAGGAGGAGGAGGCCGGAGACGCGAACGGCCGCCCTGACGCCGATTTCGACTCAGTGCGCAGGCGCGGCTTCAACGCCAGGCCCTGCCGCCATCGCGCCTGCGCAAGAGGTGCCACCACCACCATCCCTTACGCATGCGCGGCTTAGCTGGGTGAGTGTGGCTTCGGCTGCCTTTCTCGCCTTGCCTTTGCTCCCCGGGAGGGTCTCTGCTGGTCTTTGCGGGTGGGCGGCGGGTTTCCTTTGTGCATTACCAGAATCCATCCTGGCAGGAAAAGTGGTGAAGCTGTGACTCCAGTGCGCTTGGGATCGGAGCCTTGCTTGCATGCGAGGAAGTGAAATGATGAGCTTCTGCCAAATGCTTTCAATTTAGGATTTCAGGCATCTTTTATAATCAGTATTAACCTTGGAACTGCAGAGCTGGAAGGGACTCTCCGGATCATCCAGTCCAGCCCCTGTCCAGGAGGTCCAGTGGGGGAATCGAACTCCCAACCTCTGGCTCCACAGCCAGAGAGACCTCAACCCCTGAGCTATCCAGCAGTTCAGTAAGGTCGAGTGGGGTTGCTGGTGTGTTCAATGCTGACAAATTTTATTATAGCAAGTTATGAAATATTTTCACACATACACAAGTACATTCCTACAAATTTATTGTATATCATTAGTAAAAAACAAACAAGCCAACAACAGCTGGCTAGACTGTAAATCTTGCATGTCCCCTTTGGCCACCACCTATATGGGGTGTGCAGTTCTCAAGTAACTGGCCAACAGGGAAGAAAATGGGCCCCAATCCCCACTCAAGAGCATGTATTGAGACTAAAGGTGGGGAGAGGAGCAAGGAACATTTGCAATGCCATCTGGAAGGTCTGCGGGTTATGCACCCTGGATTTACCTAAGAAAATGTCCGCAGGGATCTCATAGTTGTGGAGCTGAATTTAGTGGCCCGGATCCTCTTTATGTGAGTACACACGGCCATTCAGGTTCCAAACATTTTGCTAGGCTTAGAGAAACCCCCAATATTTGTTGCAAGGTCTTGTCCAATATCACCATCTCAGAAATTGTCTCCCAGCATGGATATGGTAGAAGCAGGGTTCTCATTGCAGGCCGACAATTAATTTGTCTTGGAGTGAGCCAAGCCATCTTCCTGCGTTCTGTATTTGGGGGGGGGGGGGTCATTTTCAGCCTTGTGTGCCTCTTTTTAACAGGAGATACCAGACAGAACCCTTCACTATGTATGTATGAATATGTGTGTGCAATAAACACTGCCATTCTAAAATTTTAAAATGCATAAAAATATTTATTGTTATTCAAGGAGCAAAAGTCAGGAAGTAAAAGGGTTCCTGCGGCCCCTGTTGTTTTCCACGAACCAGCCACTGACCGAAGAGAATGACTTCTATCAGGTCATTCAATCAGGAAATCCTGTAGCTTCTAAGAGATGTTGTATTATTGCACATTCCTAACTTTATACTGGAAATTTTTATAACATAATCCATAAACCATCTTGCGGGCTGAAGAGGACATGGGCTAGAAATGTGCTGGAAAGGGTTTCTCTCACCATTTCTTGATCCGTGCTTATACCCCACAAGTTACTCATAACCTGTGGGTCACAACCGTCTCCTGTGATGGTGCTGTACACCCAGTGCTCCCTCTCCTTTTTGTGGATGAACGTCTACTCTGCCAGGGCAGAGGAGATTTCTGCCACCGTTCTATCAGCAACCCTGTAGGGCTGCAGGGATCCTGAGCCACCAAGGGCCCCATTGCCCTGTATGAGAGAAGCTGAATCCTAGGCTAAGCGGGAGACCCACTTTACTACAAGGGAACACTTCTGCTTCCCAGAGGCAAGTTCAGAGAGCACTACTAAGAGACCTGCATCCCCCACCACAACAGCTGAGGACAGGAATACACACACCTAAATACAGAGTTGCTTCCCCTACATTTACAAAAGGAAGCTAGCTTCCTTTAAAAACAAACACTAAAACCATGAACAGTAATGTTGCAACTCATCCAGCACCTCTAAATTCATTCAATTAAAACCTTAAAATATCAGAAATCCAACATGGCTACCTGCTCATGTATTTTTGGGGAAGAAAAGACACCTCCCCCTATCTGTTTTTGTGTCGGAATTCTCTTCTGGAGGCAGGGACGGAGATGTGGCACACAGCCTGGAAGGGTGGACCAAGTCCTCCTAAGCCATTAAACAAGCAAGGTTTCATTTCCCCCTCTTCAGAAACAGCCGTGGCAGAAACTCCCGTCGATCGTGCCTCTTCACCAGAGACGGAGGAGAAAAGGCTGCAAAGGGTGGCGATTGGGGGGGGCTGCAGAGGAGACGGTGCCTTCCAGACACGAGGGGGCCATGCAGACCGGACTGAGATGGAGCTGCAGGCAGGGACAAGAACGCCCCCTCCGATGGTCGGGCATCCCCAGAGCCTCTTGAGATGCTCCACCGCGACATCGCTCACCCCCTTCAACGTCCGGTCTTGGTTCAGGGAGTAACCACTCTGTTTCCCTGCAACAAGTGGTGGCTTGGGTTTGCTCAGAGAACAGCTGGGACCGAGCTGGGGGAGAGGAACAGCACTTTCCCTGCCCCTCCATCATCTCATGTGAAGCTTCATCAGCACCTTGAGGCTAAGGAAGCTGAGCAGAACCCCCAGCAGATGAAGCTTCAAGCCCCTCAAATCATCCTCTCTTACTCAAACGTGGAACAGCAGAAGCCAGAGGAGAAAGGAGGTCTCTTTCTCGCACTCTCCCCTCCGGGAGGTGAAGGAAATGGGAGCCCAAGAACAGGTGACAGGAAACACTCTTCATCACAGACTCTGAAAAGTTTTGTTACTGGGCTTGTGTATGTGTGCATGCTTGTGTGTGTGTGTGTGCGCGCGCACCAAGGGCACAGCTCTAAGCAGCCAGCAAGAGAATTATTGGGAACTGTTCAGCTGCCATTCCTGGGATAGTCATGTATCGGGATATGGGAAGATGCAAACTCTGGAAAGAGAGGGAAAGGGGGAAAAAAAGGAACGGAGAAAAGAAAAGCGAGGGGAAGAGCCTCTCCTGCCTCTCACAAGCCCAGTGCCTCTCTCTTACGGAGCCCCTCAAGACTCTACTTCCTAGGAAAGAGCAAGGACCTGCAGGAAGAAAAGGAAAGAAAAGGAGGTTCAGGGCTCTGCAAAGCAGCCCCAAGAACTTTCCCTTCCTCTCCAAAGGCCTGCCTACGCTCCTATATTCCCTACAAGGGCCACGCTTGCTTTGGTGCTCTGGCAGTGACTCCCACACATCCGTGGCCTTCCCAGCAATGCCTAAGGAGCCCTGCTCTGCCAACACAGGGAGAACATGCCCTAACAGACCAGTGGGAGAACTAAGAAATACTCCCGGAGAACCAGGCCTCCTCACTAGAAAGGATCAGTCCACAAGGAGGTACAGGGAAAGACGTTTGTTGTGCAAATGAGCAGGACGAGTGGGTGGAGGACCGCAGGCCCAGGGGAAATACACCCCTCGTTTTCAGATCGTCTGGGGACACACACACACACACCTCTCTGAGTGGAACCCAAAGAGGAGCCCCCGCATGCTGGCACGGCAGAGCCCTCCGGGGCCGGGGCTCATACAGTCTTCCTGCCCAGCCGTTTAAAGACGCTGACCGTCTCCGTATTGTCCATCTGGGCACTGGGGGTCTCCGTGGTGCTGCTTACCTTGCTGCTCCCCAAAGTTCTCTTGATGGTGACCCGGAAGCCAGAGTCCGGCTTGCTCCTGGAGCTGGTGACACTGCTGTCCTGGGCTTCGGTAGGCAGGGGGCGCTTCCCCAGCCTCTTCCCAACGTGGTGTCCTTGTGCTGGGGACAGCTCTGCCTTTTTTTCTTTGCTGGGAGCCATGGGACCTGCTGGGCCCCTGCTCCCCAGCCTCTTTATGGTGGTGGTGGGAGCCGCTGCCACCGCCAACACAGGCTCAGAGCTGGTGGCTTTGGCTTTAATGGTCACCCCCGCCTTGCCGCTCCCCTTGGGCTTCGAGGGCTTAAATAATTTCTTCAGGACACCGGCATACTGAAGGACGGAGCTGTCGTCATCATCCTCATCACTTTCAACCACTGTCTTCTCTTCTTCCTCAGCCTTCTGCACGTCCCCCAATCGGCTGAACACTCCTGTGGGCTGTCAACACCAGCACAGGTCAATGGTGGTGCACCAACCATTGTGGGGTGGCAGATACGCCCCCCCCCCGGCCCCTGCTCCCAACCTTCAAGTCTCGGGATTTTCTCGGGCCCAAGATGAGTGTGGGGAGACGGGAAGGAAAAAGCTTTTCAATTGTGTCTCTGGGAGGAAACATATGCCTAGGGTGGTGGTAAGAGTATTGGCAATGCTGGGAAATATACCCCCCCCCCCCCAATCAGACTGCACTCGGTAAATGCAAAGACCTCAAGAGGCTGCATTTTGCACGGTCTCCCTTCTGAGCCAGGTGTGAGGGTAGGGAGCTGGAATGAACTCCAAACAAACAAACAAACAAAAGCCCCAGAAGGAAAACCAATCCCCCTCACCTTACTTCCTGTAGTCGTGTCTGCACTGCTCTCTGCACCAAGCCGGTCGAATACAGAGGTTCTCTGTAAGCCTATCATGGAAGAAGAGTGGGTGGTGGGCAGGAATCCCCAAACTGAATGTTTAGATACAGTATCGCACAAAGTGAAAAGGAGTAAGGAAACATGGGAACCAAATGTGCGTACATGTGTGTGTGTGTGTGTAAACAAGAGAATTTAAAATCAAACATCACAGGGCGCTCAACAGAGGCAATCCACTTCTTCCAATGCATCGCCCCAATGACGGGAGCAAACCTTTCTGAGGGTGAGGCCAACGCTGCCCTACAGGATTATCTGTGGACCAGCCATCAGTTGGCACGCCCGACAGCTCCAAGACCTCTCAAAGACCGCTGGACCTTGCTGAAGGGCCACCTCACTAACAAGGCCAATGTGTGGTGGGGTCGGATGGGAGATGGTTTGGACAGGAAGAAAGTCTCTCTGCCACAACCAGAAAGCTGGAATTTTACAGCCGAAAGGAAGGAAGGAAGTGCCAAGTAAAGCCATGTGAGGATTCTGCACACCCACAACCGAAGAGTTCTGACCCCCCAACACAACTCTTATTTAAAAGCTCCTGCCCATGATGGTAGTGCAGAAAAACTGGTCAATGTGGGACGACTGCTGAAATCAAAGGTCATCTGCTCTGCAGGGCTGGAGAGGCTGACAGTTCTGGTCGATACACATGTTGTATTTGCTATCAAAGCATTTAAAGGTACTGAAAATAATATATTGAATCCTGACATTCCATTTCCAAAAAAATAAAAAATAAAAAAAAAATGCTCAGGACAAACAAGAAATATTGCAGTAAAAATAGTCCAGACAGAGGCAACAGAATGGGTGCCGGCCCAGTTACAACATGATCAGCCAGCTAGAACCACTGAGTTTCCTTCCTTGTGCTACAGATACACATTTTCATCTTGGCCCATAGATTTTTTTAAAGCAACAACAACTGCACAATAGAACTAAATGTGACTTTACATTCACTACGAGACACCCATTAATTCCCCGCCCCCATCCAAGAGCCCAGATAGAGTACCTTTTGCGGCCTGCTGCTCCAGGATCTTTTTAGTCCTGGGTGTGGTTCCTTTTGGCATGTGGACGATGTACTTTCCTTCCATCTCCGCTGTGACACGGCGCCGCCTCACTGGGACCACAGCATTCTCCACCCCAGGACTGGAGAGAGCCGCAGCTGCAACCATACAGAGGCGGAGTCTGAGCTCAAAAGAAAGTGGGGGTTGCAGAAAGAGGCTTCGGGGTCCTCTGCCTGTGAACCCGAGCAGGCAGGGCAGGATGAAAGGACAGGTATCTTGACCTGTATAGAGGCTTCAACAAACAGGCCAAGAAAACACCCAGCTGAGCTCAAACGCCAGCAAAGAGTGGCAGGGTTACTCCTGACCCTCTCTCTTTCTCTCTGTGCCTCCCAGGTTTTCAGAGAAGTGGGGAGGACCAGCGTAAAGTGCCAGCTCCATCTCACAATCCCTAATATGACCGGTAAGGATGGGAGAGATCGATGAGATCCCAAGGCTTGCAACCCAGGCCCTCCGACTGAACAATTCAATTTCCTCCACAAGAAGTGGAGGAAGACCAAATATAAGAGGGACTGAATCTCTAAAGGAAGCCACAGACTTGCGTTTGCAAGAAGAGCTGAGCAGAGTGGTTGAGGCCTGGGCATTCTGATGTTCACTCATCCAGGGTCAGCAGTGACTTGGAGGAGGCACGTAACAACATAAGAACAAGAAGCGAAGAGAAAGCCACAAGACTGAGAACATGGAACAGAATAATTCCGTATTATGACATTTTCCCTTCCTCTAACACAGCTGGGTTTATTGGGGCAGGGGAGCTTTCCCCACGTTTCCACATAAGCTTGGACTTCATAATTAGTTTGAGACACACATATTGCTCCCTCCAGCTAGCAGCCAGGTGGAATCTTGCCAGTAGCCTCTCTCTCTCCCTGAGCCAGAAGGGTGTGATGATCAGCTAGAGCAGTGGTTCTTAACCTTTGTTACTCGGATGCTTTTGAACTGCAACTCCCAGAAACCCCAGTCAGGACAGCTGGTGGTGAAGGCTTCTGGGAGTTGCAGTCCAAAACTCCTGAGTAACCCAAGGTTAAGAACCAGTGAGCTAGAGCATCCATCCATCGTTCCTCTCCCTTACTTGAAGCACCTGCTTCTTATACAGCTGAGTATCTCAAGCCATTCATCTGAAAAGGGACAGAGAACTTGAGCTGCAGACCCACCGCCATGCTCCCTCTGCTCAGCCTGTCCAGTTCTATGCGTGAGGCAGGGAAGCAGGACCCCAAAGCAAGAGAGGAAGCGGCAGCTCGCCAGGTTTGGCCAAGCCCCAGCTGACCCACAAGCAGGCAAAACAAGGGATCTAAGACCCAAGGAGGCGTCCTACGAGCCCCCACTCTGCCCACTGAACCCCTCCCTCCCCTGGTTACCTGCTTTGGCATTCTTTGCCGCCATCTTATTGGACACAGTGATGGAGATTTTGGAGGTACTGCTGTCGGACCTCCGAACAGGAGTGGAGGGTGGAGACTCTCGGCTCAGGCTATTGGCAATCATTCGTGTGGCAGCTTTAAAAACAGCAATTGGAAGCTGGTGAGGGGCACAGATCATTCAGAGAACAGCAGCACGGAGAGGCAGTTGGCTCAAAACACTTTTATCCAACATTGAGCCACTGATCTCAAGACACCCAACTCCCCTGCATGTTATTGATTTCTTCAAAATATTTTTATCCCACCTTTCTCCTTAAAAAGGAACCAAGGCAGCTTATAGCATTAAAAGACAACGTTTAAAAGCTAAAAAAACCAACCCCAATAAGGATAGAAACGCTTTAAAAAACAATAAAAACAAATACCAGAGTAAAAATGGTAAATAAAATCAACACTAAAAACACATGTTAAAGCAACAAGGCACAAATCTTTCATTTAAAAACTTTTCTGGGACAGCCTGTCCCTAAGAGATGTCTGTCTGAAGAAGAAGGTTTTTGTCTGCTTGCACGAAGACAGCAGAGATGGGGGACATCAGGGCAACCCAAAAAACCACATAACTAAACAATGCAATAAAAAAGCTGTGTATACGGAAGGAAAGAAGGGAAAAAAGCAACTTTTTGACGGCACCTTGAGGCTACCTTTTCCACTTTGGGGTAACAAGCAGTTAGTGCCAAGAGGTCATCAAAGAAATTCCTTTTTAAACCAGAATGTTGGAGAACAGCAGCAGTTACTACAAGAGGAGCTAAAACCTAATTTGTTTAAAAGACGGAAGGTCCGGGCAGCAACTCCCTTTTATTTACTCAATCTGCACAGCAACTCTGCAAGAATTTTCAGTGGAACATCAAAATAAACATGCTTTAAATAAATAAAAACCACTGAAGAATTAAAATGTCATTGCATCCTGCCGCCCCCCACCCCTGCCCGGAAAGAAACAGGCACCAGATGGGGGCAAACGGGCTTGACCTCAGGAGGGCCAAACGAAACAAAGTCACAAGCAGAGCTCCTTGAAATCAGAAAGCCTAGGAACACGACACTGTGGGGGACAGGCTCGCAGAGACTAATGAACTCCACAGGAGAAGGACGGGATGGGAAGCGATGTCTGTTGAACTTACCGCTGCTGGCATTTCGTCGGAGTTCAGACTGCACAGTGGTCTGGCTAGAGGCCACGGACTCTGTTGCCGCTTTGCACATTTCCTAAGGACACAGAACACCATCACAGAATAGAGCGGGGCAGACGGGGCTGAACCTCTTTCTCTTGGTGTCACTTCCCTTCCTCCTAATGTACAGATCACGGCAGAGGACCTAGGAAGACCTCCAGATTGGAGAGGTGCATCCAAGAGAGTGGATTACGAGGCACTATTATAGGGGAGGGAGCCAGTTCTGGTGAAACGCAGCTTCACATCCAAGGATCAGCCCTGGGCATCATCGTGAAGGATGCTGGAAGCTTCTGGCTGCTTACTCAGCTCCTTGGGGGAAAGAGCTTCCTTTTCATGGAATGACTTAACACTCCATTTCTCTGCTTTGCATTTTAAGCTAGATTAGCACAGGGTACTGGAATGCTCGCAATCACTAGGACTAGGAGATTTCCCCTGCATTACTCAGTCTGACCCGCAGGCACGATGCCAGGGAGATTTCATCGCTACAGAGGCACCGAGTACATACATACAAAGGTATTAAAATAATTGTACCCTGCCCTTCTTCTTTAAAAAGGATGCAAGGTGGCTTCCATCATTAAAAGACAATATTTAAAAGCTAAAAATATTAAGTGTACAAATATTTTTTTTTAAAGAATCAAACAAATATCACACCAAAAATGGGGGGAGGGACTCGACACCAAGCTCATGGCAGACACCATTTTATCCACACGCACCCCAGTCATCCTGGAAAGAAGTTGTAGTGCTTCAGTACTCAAGGCCACACTTTGAATTGCACAGCCACACATATAACAACCCCCCCCCCAAACTGGACATTTTACTGTGGCTCCAAGCCTTAAGCAGCCATCCACAAAACAAGAGTTGAGAGCCTTTTCGCTTAAAGCATGGGGGAAAATCTCAACAAGGAGCATCTGCCCAGAGGACCCACCTGTATGTACACCACCTTGGCATGCTTGAGGATGGCAATGATGTCGCCAATGACGGTGATGCCCAGCTCATTCATGATCTCCTTGTTGAGGTCCATCAGCATGTTCTTCTGGATCCTAGAGAGGACAAAAGAGGTGAGGGCGAGTCCTGTTCCAGAGTGCTTCACCATTTACATGCGTTCTGAAGAAGGGATGCTGCCACCTGCTGCCACGAAGATTCGCCCTGCCTTTATGATGAAAGGAAGGGCGAACTTCCTCACTCCTGTCTGTCTCAGTACCAACAACAGAATCTTTTAACTTTTAGTCGTTAAACCTATGCTTGCTATTGCTACAGCCCCTTAGAACCATTCCATGAGGCATTTATGCTGATTCACAGAGATCTTTTCGGCTGCTCTTTCCCCCAGAAAATGAATATTTGAAAAATTATTTTTGGTCTATATAGCATATGCCGTATCACACTGTTAGAAGTTAAACAGGCTCACATCCCAGCGCTGTGGGCAGAGATGCGCAGCTCCATGTCATGTGCCCAAACCAGTCTATTGGGCTCTTTGCTAAAGGAACAGTTAAGTCCTCTGGGCTGCAAGAGGAGCCAACAGCTCAGGAAACAGCTGCTGGCTTCAGTGCTCATCACTGAGGGTTCTTAAGTGGAAAGCAGGCCTGCTGGTTCTTCCATGAGGAGGTTCCATGGAAAGGCTTCTGAAGATCACCTGTTTCATTACAGGGGAAACTGAGAGCCTCACGTCTCACAGCATGGTAGGACAAAGCTGAACGGCGAATTGTTCCAGGGCGCTCTTCTTCTAAGCAGCCCTACCTATTATCCACAAACATGACAGCATAGTTGACGGCAGGTCCTGGCGGAATCCCAGCTTCTTTGAAGAACTGAATCCACTCCGACGTAGCTGAAAGACAAGCAACAAGAGCATGTAAATCAAGGCAAAAGGAAGGGGCTCTCAGACAATGAATCCCCTTCCGGCTGATCAGTGGCATAAAAAGGCTGCCCAGAGGAGAGAGACAGGTAGCCTGTAGGTCATCAAATGCCTGCCAATAACTATGTAGAAATCTATTCTTGTTTCCTCAGAGGAAAGAAACGTCTTGCATGCTTCTTAACACTCCCCCCAAGACAATCACCTCACAAGACGTGAGCAAGACATGTACAAGTAGAAAAGTTCAGGCTACTCACCTTTTCAGGATCAAGATTCTACACACAGCTAGAGATAAGGATGAATCACTACACATCTCTGTGAATGTGGTCCTGAGCAATAACAGGATAACCCAATCGCTGAGAAAGACCCCAGGCCAGAGAAGCGAGGGAGAGTGAGTCAGCTGACTCCATCAAAAGCCCGTCTTTAAGGCCTCCCCCACACAACACTTGCTGTTTTATTTACACGGAACTCTTGAATGCAGCTGAATATTTATACACTGGGGGATGGGTTCAGTTTTTTAATCAGCAGCTGTTGCACCAGGAGGGGTAGGAGGTCCTGGCTGGAGGACCGTAATTCTCTCCGCCTTTCCCACCCTAACAAGCATTCGGGTCTCTCTGCCCTAAAGGACGCAGTGAGCTTCCCAAGTTAAGATTCTTCGAATTTGCAGCTGCCGCCACTTGTCTGAAGCTCAGCTCAGCCGCCATCCAATCCAGCTCTTGTGCTTCGTAGCAACAACCCCACAACCCTTTGGCTTTGGGGTTTCACTGGCCAAAAGACAATCTTACCTTTCAAGCTCAGTAGCCTAAGTCACACATGCTTATCAAACACCCCCATGAAAATCTCACTGAAAATGCCACCAGCAGTGTAACTCTTACAAGAATGAAACCCACCCCACCACCCTGGCCTCTCTTTGAAATCTCTAACATATTTTGATTTTCAGGGAACTTATCGTTTCAGCCTACAAGTCCTCCCAACCCCAAAGTCACTTGTCCAAATGCCAACTTTGGGCAGGGTTCATTTCCACCCATATGCAGGCAGAAATCCATCTCCAGACTCACCCATTGTCACAGACGCCATCCTGTCCAGGCCACCCCTGGGGAGTTGCAGGAGCCAAGAGGAATGGCTGGGCCACCGCTGGAACGCCTGCCGCGAGAGAAGCCCCAAATGAAACCATCGCGCTCACCCAGTTGGCGTGCCAATCCAACCACTCACCGGGCCAAGAATAGGACAGACCCATCAGCTGAAGCCCATCTTCTCCCTTCTGACCCACATCCCTAGAAGGCGACTGGGCTTCATCTCTCCTGGCCTTGGAAACCCCAACCCCCCCCCCCACTATCCACCTCTACCCAGTCCCTGGACGGCGGGGTGGGCTTAAAAGAAGTCAATTGAGTGGGTTTCTTTTTTTTTTTTTTTAAGAATCAGTTTAAATCGTGATTATTTTTATTTAAATCACCTAAGACCCTTAAGTCATAGTTTAAATTGCTTTGATTTCAAGCAGCCGCATCCTGCTGGAGGGCATGAAACTCAGGGATTTTTTGGGGGGGGGGGCTTGCTCGAATCGCTCGAAAATCAGAA